TTTTTTTCTTTCGTGTAATTCAATGTTTATATGAAAGTAGGTGTTTCAGGAGGACTCTCTTTCAGTTTGTGTCTGAAAGTTACTTCTTTGCATGATCTACACATTCATGTATAGAGTTTCAAATTGATTACTTCCTTCCTTTCTTTGGAAGATTCTCTCATCCCTTTTTTTGTATCAGATATAGATAGTACTTTTTCGTTTTCTGACATTTCTTATATTTTCCAAACGTGGTCAAGCTTTTGGAAATTGTCTAATATCTTCAGGTGAAATGAACGAAGTTCTGGGCATGCCTATATCTCTTATTTCAGTCACTGGATTTTTTTTAGGAGTTTTCAATCCATAATCTATCTTCGATTCCAAGAGGCCTTCTGAAATAGAAAGGGGCTCCTTTGAAGTATATGAAGTTGATGCAATGACATCCTGTTTGATCTGTTGATTGTGCAGCACTGTCAAAAATCGATGCTGAAGGTACTGCAACAGTAGGCATATCCGGTGCGAGTCTGTCGGTCACATATGATCCACTAAACTCTTGGGTCCGGAAATATATTTTCGCTGTGTGATGTTCCCAGTTACTCAGAATCCGGGTTGGATATTATTAATTGTAGCTGTCAGTGGCAATGGTGTTTTCACCAACTCAGGTATGTCATAGATTGTTATAGTTTTTCATGGATGACTCACTAATCAATTGTCGGTTGCTTGGTTGGACTATTTCTTTAGTGGCCCATACACTGTCCTGCCTTACAGCTGCAGCTTATGACTGCAGTGGGGAGGAAACGATAGAACTGTAACCCCATTTTCTTTTAAATATTCGAGTACATCATTGGACAAGTGCGAGTCATGGTTGTCCAGCAGTAACAGAATAGGCTTTTCCTTACTAGGTTTATCTTATTTTACGAAGTGTTTCGCAAGTGGCATTCAGACCACATGCCAGGTTATCTGATTTCCTTTTCAATGCCAAAGATAAGGTGGACAAGTTGGAGAAATCTGGAGTTTATAAGCTTAAGTGTCTGAAGTGTAATAGTGTGTATGTGGGACAATGTGGTCGAAATTTCCAAAAACTGTATGCTGAACATGAAAGGTCCTTCACACAAGTTCCCGAATCTAAACGATACGGAAATTTTGCACTATGCAAGTAAGGGTTAGGCCGATTGCATACTTACAAGACATTTGTTCGCAACATGTCTGCGACATGTCGCTTCAACACTGTGAGCACCATAATGTAGGAAACCCGTAGTTCGCACATCAGTATACATTATGTCGTCGGATTAGTATGTGGCAATATTATCGGTTCTAATATTGCGAAGGCGAGAGAAGAAAAATACTCGAAAATATTGGGTTCATCCATATAGTATAGCTAATCTTCATCGCAGTATATTTATAAGTTTTACTGGTGAAGAAATGATGGAGGATCCAGTTAAATTTCAATCATTTTATAGAATGTCACTCCTTCACACAAGTTCCCGAATCTAAACGATACGGAAATTTTGCACTATGCAAGTAAGGGTTAGGCCGATTGCATACTTACAAGACATTTGTTCGCTACATGTCGCATCAACACTGTGAGCACCATAATGTAGGAAACCCGTAGTTCGCACATCAATATACATTATGTCGTCGGATTAGTATGTGGCAATATTATAGGTTCTAATATTGCGAAGGCGAGAGAAGAAAAATACTCGAAAATATTGGGTTCATCCATATAGTAAAGCTAATCTTCATCGCAGTATATTTATAAGTTTTACTGGTGAAGAAATGATGGAGGATCCAGTTAAATTTCAATCATTTTATAGAATGTCACGAGAGACATTTTCAGTACTTTTCAGTGCTGGGAATGTGTTAAAAGTGGGGTAAAATTATTTGTCGGTGGTTTGTAAAGGATTTCACCAATAACTTGCATTGTTTTATATTTAAATTCGTGTTTTTGAGCGTTTGGCATTCGCTGTAAATCGGGCAGAAGACTTTTGAGAAATAGCAAGTCAGCATCTTCCGTTTTTTCCAATTGACCTCGGCTTTTCGATGTGAAATAATAATCAATGGCACATTTCTCTAGTGGGCCCTCTTCTTTGCGGTTTTTTGTAAAACTCTTATTGCGAATTAATGCGCTTTCAGTGACTAATAAAGGCTCATTTGTAGAGGATTCTTCCAATGCATCCTTATTTAGATCATTTTCGTCATGTACTTCAGGAGGCTCAATATTTGAGTCGAAATATATGTTTCTTCATTTATATTTTTGGGAGATGGAATGCTACCCTTTTGTTGCCGGGATTTAGTGAACGGAAGGAGGAAGTCCAATGGTCTGCTAAATATTTTTTCTTTGTTTGTGCTGATGATCCAGATGGTGGTTTTTGCCTTATATGTCGGGCGGATCTTAAATTTTTCCATTTCTCCATTCATGCAGCTCCTGAAAATAAAAATATGTTTCAGATACTTGGCAACTGGAATGAGTTTCAAGCAGTTATCTTTCCAATTTATGAGAGGAGACTCTACAATTGAACAAATAGTTGAAGAAGTTTGTGACAATATTTGGTCAGGTTTGCAAATGGAATTCATGCCTATTCCAAGTGAATTGCAATGGATTGAAAAAACCGAACGCTTTGAAGAACTTTGGAATTTACCAAATTGTATAAGTAGTATTGATGGTAAACATATCAGAATACATTGTCCAACCAAGACGGGATCCGCTTTTTATAATTATAAAAGTTATTTTTCCCTGAGATTATTGGCTATAGCGGATGCAGATAGCAATTTTACTGCCTTCGACGTTGGCGACTACGGTAGAAATGGTGATGGGTAGTATTCAAACATTCAAGTATTGGACGAAATTTTCAGGCAAACACACCCAATTTTCCACCAACGCAGCCTTTGTCCAAAAACCACACGAGCCCGCTTTTCCCTATTATTTTGTCGGAGATGCTGCCTTCCCTCTTTCTAAAAATTTATTAAAGCCCTATCCGTCAAGAAATTCAACAAACCCAAAAAGAATCTTCAACTATAGATTATCACGAGCTCGTCGAAGTGTAGAATGTGCGTTTGGTATAATGCTGTCAAAATTTAAAATTCTAGAGAGACCTATTCTATGCTCACCACACAATGTTGATAAAATTGTTAAGGCAATTTGTGGGTTACACAATTTTATAAGAAAAAAGGATGGAAAAATGTCAGAACCAACATTTGAAATGGGCGGGTTACCACATAATGATACTAACACACAACAAATTTTACCAAATTTTCACCCTCAGTGTCAGCGTGGCACAAATGAGGCGATAATATTATGAAATAGATTATGTTCATATGTAAATCAGCCCTATGCGGCATTATCTTGGCAGTCGACATATTGTGTGTGATAAATAATATTATAATTGTTCTTCTTCACAAGTTTTTAAATTGATAATTGTTTATAACTATATATTATTATATTGTAAAAATAAAAACTTAACTTGTTTCATTTATTTCTCTTTCAACTTCGTTCCAGGCTTTTTCTTGCACATGCCTATTTGAGTAACCTTCCATCCTATGGTCATACAGAACATTGTATTTTTCAACGATTTGCACAAATTTTACATTAAATGTTGGATTATCTTCCATTTGAAACATACACGTGCATTCGGAAACAGCTGTCGAAAACAAATGACGCTTGAAATTGGAGCAAGCAGTGTCATATAAAAGTTGTTTTCGACACGTCTCATCCTGTCCACGGTGTTTCTGTTTGGTCTACGAATCGCCATAAGAACCGCTGTGTTGGAAATGAAACGACATGTCTGCGACATGTTGCAAACAAATGTTTGCCTTACAAACTCAATTATTTAGAATCCTTGGAAATTCACAAGCATAAACATTGTGGGTGCAATCTGTTAAATGATCAAATCGATTTAGTTTACTCATCGGTTTTCAAAGGTGTTATATAAAGGCTAATGTAATCAATCATTGTTAGTTTAATATATAAGTTTGAAAATGTCCTCACAGGACAAAACTGCAGTAACGTTAGTTACAATTAAAAAGTGGTAAAAAAAATAGAAAGTTTCAATTCTCTTTTCTTCACTACTCTTTATCATTACTACCACTTAGTAACGGCTACATCCATCAATTTACCTGTAGATAGATAGTCTTAGAGTTTACGTGAGACATCTAGATTCAAGATTTTGGTGGTGCTTAAAGATGATATTTAAAAGAAACCCTGATTTTCAGATAAGAAGACCGTCTACCAAATGAGAATTACATTCAATACTGAGGTTTAAGTTAATGTTGATTATTTAAGTTTATTTTCAAAGTCTATTTTTTTAATTTAATTATTTTCCAAGTTTAATCAATTCCAATGAACACTTGTTTACGTCAAAAAGAAGAGTGTCGTGAGTTTCATTCGATATAGAATATCGAGTTACGCCCCCTTCAGCCAGAAGTAACTTTATTGTGATCTCACAAACATCATTCTAATATTGTAGTTAGAGCAATTCAGTCCTGTGCTTTTTTGTCATTTGAATCTAAATAATTCTTTACATTTGAATCAATTGTTTCTTAACAATCACTTTGAATTCATTTAATGACAACTCTAACATGTTACTGGATAGTTTATTATAAAAACGTATACAATTGCCCATAAAAAAGTGCATATAATTTGGAATATCATATTCCAAATTATATTTACATTAAATAATCAGTGCCTTTCAGTAAGTTTATGTATAAACCAAAGTTTATGCCATTTATATAAGGAATAACATTGTTGATTATTTTCATGCCATTAATAAAGTCATTAGTTTCACCAACTCTATATGTAGTTCCACTCTTATTACTCTATGATATTTTTATAAACTTCAATTTATTGTTCTTTCAATCATGAACAGAATTTTGTTGACCTTCCTTTTCTTCATGATGAACAGTTTCCATCTCTCGATTTGACGACTCAGTAACAGTATTATTTGTACCTAGGAAACACAGCTTCAAGTTTTTGGATTTTGTCTGTCGACTTGTTGCACTATTATTGTTTCTTCGAGTCGAATTCTTCATGACGTTCTTGAAAAATGTTTCACAATGTTGCTTAGTGAACGTTTTGTTCGATAAATGAATGACCTCAAAAAAAAGTGCAATTACATTTTTATAAATTTTGAAAGGAATTTTTTCCATATTTCTTTCTTTACAGGCACCTGTCCAGGAACATTGAGTCATGAAATTTCTTGTGAAAAAATAGTCAATCACGTGGCAGCAATCATCTTTGGCCGTGTTGCTAATTTTCCTATTTAAAGTACAAATTTCATTGGTTTTTCTTAGAAATTCGTCGAATATATCTTTATCTTTCAATTTGTCTTCAAGGCTGTTGAGATCTTGGATATTGTCAATGGGTTCAAACATATTATCTACCTTCATATTCTCATGATTTTTCTCATTTTTTATTACATTTTTCATTTTACTTAAGGCTACTTCAAGTTTAGCAACTTTTTGAAGTAAAATATCTTGATTTTTCAAAATTTTAATAAGTTTTGGTTTAATGTTGTTTTCAAGTGTATCAAAACCTTGATACTTTGGTAATGTTTCAGTGATTCCATTCAGCTTGTTACCAATCCGTACATCAACTATCCGAGTTTGCAGAAGCTGGTTCTCTAGCCATAATTTTTTGTCCTAGAAAAAAGAAGGAAATCAAAATAAGCATCTTACATCATATTTTTGCTGAAGTTTTTTTGAGTTTCTTACAAAGACGTCATGTTACATTCTGAGACATTCTTTGTTATCACCCAAATTAGTTTTGCAAATAATGAAATTGAGAAAATCTTTTCGAAGTATTTAACAGAATAATAATAATAATAATGAAATAGTAGGAATTGCCATCCCATATCTCAGGCCTTTGGTGAGTTGCGCCATCACTTACTCACATACCTACATGGTGTCAGACCGGATCTACAGCCCAGTCGCCCCCAACGGGTAAGCTCACTCCTCTCTCTCCGATGGCGGGCGTGGGTCTTTTTATATTCAAAAATTAAATAGGATTCCAAGTAACCCATAATAACCATCACCATAACAAGAGACATATAGAAGAGAATAGATTAGTTAATTGGTTACATGATACATTTGAGCACAAGTCAAAACACAAAAGTTATAAATATAGAACTCTATCACGATGCTCCTATAATAGAAAAATGTACACAATAATAAATACAGTTAAACAATCAAACAACTAATGTTAAAAATGAGAACAATCCTTATCCACTCAAAGTCACACGAATTATCTATGTTGTATAACATATATTTATCTGTGGAATAAAGGCAGTGATTGAATTAAATGCCTTCAGTTTTTACTTGAAACTTAGTTGTTTTAAGTGATATGGTAATTTATTATTAATAGAATTTCAAATTCAATGAATTTTTCTGTGAGGTACTTATCCAGAATCAATTCTTATCAGATTTTCTGATCTTGTTTTTACGATTGTCAAATATAGTTTGATAAATTTTTATGAATTTCAATCAATGTTTCATATGTAAAAGCTGAAGGAAGCGGCATAATTTTAAGAATGATAAAAGTGAGCGACAATGATCTCTAAAATTGGCATTAAATATCAGACGTATAACTGTTTTTTGCAATACAATTTTTTTTTGGAATGACAAGAATTTCCCCACAACACTATACCGTATACCATATGAGTATGGAAGAGTCCGAAGTGAGAAGATTTGACTGCTTGACTTTAATTTACGAATCATTAATATTACGCTTGATGATTTCTTGACCAGTTCGTCAACATGACATGACCATTTCAATCTGCCGTCTATATGGATTCCTCGTTAAGGAGAAGTCTATGTTTTACTAATCATCTAGGCAAATACTGCGCCATATAAAAAAATCCTGTACAACAGTTGTTTTGAAGTTGCCTGCTCACATGAAAGGTATTACAAGTATTCAGACATTTTCGAGCTACACTGTGGTCATTTTTAATAGACAGACCTTCATATTCCTTGGACGAGTTGTCTCCTTTTTATTAAAAAAAACGTATCTCCGAGTAATATATTGTGTAACATCTTCATCAATTTTAGTTTGGGTCAATATAAAAAAATGATTTGATCTATAATAAGTTATCGAACAACATTTGGAACAACGAAATAATAAACATGCTTGATCAATTTGTACATTGATATATGTCGACAAATTAATGAAAACGGAACAATGTGATTACTGTTCTGATCAATCTAATTGTTTAGTGAAGAGGTGCTTTTATTTTTGAAATTCACTTAAAAGTAATCCTTCATTCAGATTTTGGGTCAATTTAGTCAATTACATAAACTTCGTCAGCACTTATAATTCATAATTACAATATGAAATTCATTTACTGTGAAATATGTACCCACAGTAGGTATATTAGGGCGAAAACAATTATTTGTATATTGTAAAAGGAATAGGACTTTAGAAAATTTTCAATGAACAACGTTAATCACGAAATTCTGTTCAGGAAACTTTATCTCTATATGGTTTCGAAGGTATTACTAATAAATGGTTTGCTTCTTATCTATCGGGTACAAGTCAAAGGATTAAATATACAACAGTATCTGATGTTTCTAACATATCTAACGGAGTACCACAAGGATCACTACTGGGACCTACCCTATTTCTACTCTATATCAATGACTTGGCTACCATTGATACTGAGGGTAAATTTACTTTATCCGTCGACGACACTACAATATTATGGCGCAATACCAACACAAATGATTTATATAATGCCATTTGGTCTGATATTTCCAAACTTTCAGATTGGTGTAAGGCAAATTTATTAGCTTTCAATGTCTCAAAAACTAAAGTTTTATCCTTTAATTGCATTCTTGATGATAATCAATATTTGATTCTGTAACTAAATAAAACTGTGAGGTGAAATGGGCGGATAAAAACTATTCTTGTGAAGGGCTATCCTATAAAAGCAAGTTGCGCTTAGATTGTTTAGCAATGGCATAGATAAAAATTTCTCCATAAAATGTTATTCAAATTGAAATGTAAAAAGAAGTTCTTGAATGTACAGTTAAAAGGAGTTACATTTCATCACTCTCAGAAATATGAGAAGGATGAAAATAAAGAGAGAGTTTATATGAACAATTACAGGAAAAAATCTCAAGTTGGTGAAAGAGGATGAGTAAAATGATCACTACATGAAGCGGCTTAAAAGTTCACAGAACCGTCATGATGAGGTAAGTATCTCAGTTGAAGAAGAGTAATTGGAACAACAGAACGAAATCTTAGCTTATTTGAAGAAAAAAATTGGAATTAAATTAAATTGACAACCAGTTTCAAAATCAACAATAAAAATAGTGAAAAACTGAATAATCATGTGTAATTATTAAAAAAATCAATCAAGTGTAGAGGCTAAGCAAAAATTTAAATATGATAACGTGGAACTTTATGAAATGAAGAGGGGAATGTACTTTTCCATTGTAATTACAAGCAGTATTCAGATACATAAGTATTCTGAAATTGTTTATCCTAATCTTCATGACTCAGGTATTTTGTATCACGTCTATGATCTCGCAAATAAAACAGACAACAATAACATAAAGATTGGTGGTGGTGGGTGGTGCGGTTTGCGTCCTTTAACGAAACCAAAAGCTATGATGGTGGTAGATCGAGTAATGGTAGGGCCTCCCAAGCTAGATGGGTCAAGGGAGCAGTCAGATGAAGAAAGGTATCTCCTCTGCAGCACAGGGGGTTAGAATAAGACCGCAATAAACCTTGACTGTTGTAAGAGGCAAATGAAAAGGGGGCTCAATTCAGTAGTGAGTTTGAAGGGTGTCTGGGCCTTATCAGGTAGCACCAACACAGTCTCTGGGATACAGGCGACCTCTCCAAGTATTTAGCCTTAGATCCATGGATGTGAACAACAATTTTCTTCATACTGGTGGGGTTTAATAAACACAACTACAAACAAAAGATAGACTCTTCGAGATACTTGCAATTAGAGTAGTACAAGTCAACCTGAAGTACAAGTCAACCTGAAGTACAAGTCAACCTGAAGCTTCGGCGTCCTTACAAAGGTTATGGAAAAGTTTAATATTGGTCTTAGACAAGAATCCTAGAAGAAAGTTCATGATATTGGGAGAGAGTCAAAAAAGAATCAATACACTGCCTTTGAATAACTTTCGTATCAGGGAAATGAGATCAGTTAAACTGAAGATGGCTGATTAAAGAGGATCTGAGGAAATTGTCATCGAATCAGCATACCTTCCTTACAATAGACAGGAATCGCCATCAAGCAGGGATTTGAACGACCAAGTGGGAGCCAGCCTAATAGTAAGACACAGCTCATAATTGGCAGTGATGCCAATGCACACCACCCGACCTAGGGGGCACAAACACAAATAAAAAATACCTGCATTTACTACATTTTATTATAACAAACAATATAGAAGTGTTATAAAAATGTCGACAACTCAATCATCTTAGTTCTGGGCAAATATATCTGGAGAAGGGAAGCATGCAGCATGCTCTGAATATTATAACTATATATTCTAAAAAAGAAGGTCTCAGAACAATTACAGGACTACTCACTGTCCATACGAGGACGCTATAAACAAAATAGGGTCGTTCAACAGATACCTCAGCTGGAAATCTCAGCTCGAGACAGCTCGTAATGTGAATGTGAGACACTGGATCACAGGAGGCAAACAATTCATGGACAATCCAAATAATGTCCAGGAGAAAAATCTGTACAAACTATTTCAAGGAACAAAAATGTTGAAGTGGAGGTCGTGAAAGAAATGGGAGAAATCGCGANTCCTCTTTTTTTTTTTGTATCAGATGGAGTAGTAGAAAGCCAAAAACTTTCTTTTCCTTTATTATTATTATTTCAAAAATCGTCATTTGAAATCCTTGGTTTTTTCACACGCCTTTTGAGTTGAATTAGTTTTACTTGTGCCAATTACTTTGAAAGCCATTTTGATAAATTACGTATGATACCATTATTTGATGAAAAAATGAATTCTCCTAATAGATTTAAGATAACTGAAAGAATTCAACACATAATCGTGATAACTTACCTCATTACTGGAAGATAGTAATTCCAGTGGTTCCTTCTTCTCCATTTCATTGCAGCCATTCGGTACTATCATTTCAACAGTGTCAGATATATTGGATTGATTGTTACCCTCTGTTGAAAAAAAAAATAATTACAGACAGGAAAAGTTATTGACAGGATATTTTAGTAAGTGATATTTTCTCGGAAAGAGAACACAAAACAAAAAAGAATCAAAGTTGATTTGCAGAATATAATTATCATTCATTAAATTATTAGGATTTGCAGTGTCAACAATCCACAATTGTTAGAATTCTTAAAATACGTAGGCTGTTCATGAGTAATGATAATCTCTAAGCTATCATATCCTTTCCTGATATCCATAAAAAAAAACATAAGCTTTTTCTGACCAAGATATTGATGAATATACTAACCTTCTCGAATAGAAACCATTTTATGAGTCACATTATTTTGTTTTTATCTATGTAACTTATCATTCTGTTGTACATGGCATTTTTTACTATTTAACATATTACAATTTTTACCGTGTTTTGTCTGTGATTTTACATATATAGAGAATCATTCTTGGAAATGGGCGTTACCATTGCCAGTTTGAGACCCTCTAGAATTTTGCCAGTTTGTATAGATATATTTATAATATTGGAGAGTAGTTCCGTACTTTGGTGAGCAATACTTTCAGTAAGTCTTGTTGGTATGCAAGCAACATCAACAGAATTTGAAATTTGTTACAATCTGAATTCACAAAAATGTCCTTTAGAACTCATATACATAATCTGAATTTGAGATTTAAACATCTTTTACCTGCATCTAAACATAAAACTTCTCTTTTTCGAGGACCTTTTTCTTATAACATTGGACGCTTATATAATCGGCTACCCACTGAAATGAAATCCCTACCAAGACTTAGTTTCAAGAAAAATCTGAAGAGATTCATGCTACAATCCGGTTCTCTTCTTTTATAACATTGATCAGTTGACACCTATACATGATGTTTTTACCATAAATATGTAGAAATCATCAAATTTGTCATTATGTTTGTGACATGATTTTTCACATATAAAACATCGAATTCTCATTCAATCGTTTCTTGGCTCTCTTTTCTATCTTTTCCTTCTGCTTCTCTCTCTTNTCTCGTGGCAAAAGAGCTTGTACCCTTTGAATATGGTATGGATAAAACTGTTGATCGTGGATAATTCTCCAAACTGTGGCCTGAGTAGAATTGACAGCTTCAGCAATTACTCTTGTGCTTGTTTCTGGATTCTCCTCGAGAGCGTTCAAAAGAGCTTCTTCCAATTCTGGGTTTCGGACTGCTCGTGGTCTTCCAATAATATCAGCTGCCCTCTTAAAGCTACCTGTTTTTGCCAAACGACGGTGGAGACCAGCAAATGTTGGAGCTGAAGACAGTACTCGATTAGGAAATCGCTCCTGGTAAATACGTCTTGCTTCGCGCGCATTGCCATCCGCAAGGCCATAAACGAAATGCATATCGGCTAAACATGTGTATCATTCTTGGGAAATAACTGGTTATTATTACTAACAGGCAAGCGATGGAAATTTAGGATCAAGAGGTTATCAAATCTATGCAAGATTTCAAAAATTATGACCTGATATTTCTGTTTAAAAAAACGTCAGAAAGAGTGTTGAAAGTGTATTAGAACTTATAGGGGTTACTGAAAAATGATAAATTTTTTTTCTGTGCAACATTACTTCCTCAACGGCCGTCGTTTTCACCATATGTGTTAAATAAAAACAGAAGCCACCAAAAAGCATTCGTAATCTAACTACAGAAAGTACTATTATGCCATGGTGGTGCTACGCGAATGTATCATTGGACACAGACATGGTGTCCTCCCTCGCCATGGAGATGTCCATATTTGCTTGAAACTTATTATAAAGATGAGTTTTTAATGAAATGTAAAACTAACCTCTGTTTCTTACGGCTCTTCTTCTAAGTATGCGGCGAAGTAAAAATATTATGAGTGAAAAAAGGAGGAGCCCACCAACTGATGCACTCATAATGGATATTCCAGGGAGATCCTTTTTTTCTACCAACTCCGTGTCTTTTAATGGCAGTTTTCCCTCTCTGGTAATTGCTAGAGTAAATAATATTTCATTATTATTATTATCTGGAGGAATTCAAATATAATATCAAGAATGATTTATAATCTACGAAGGGAAATAAGTTTGTTAACTTGGACAAATTGGACTACTACGATACAATTGATATTTGATTAATACTAAAAAATTTGCTGCCTAACAGCAGGTAGAATTTTGCAAGTATTTAACCTTAGAGTAATAACAAAATAGCTCACCACTAGTCTAAGAGTATCGTTGATTGACATGAATTTATCGAGAAAAATAAAGATGTGAAGTGGTAAAATTTTAGTATTCTTTGACGTATCTTCATAATTCACGTATTTCCAGGAATAAAAACAATCGAAAATTGTAGTTAGGATATACGTGATGTTTTCTTAAAGTATAGTAGTCTTTAAAATTTATTTCGAATTTTTTCTAATCTATTCAAATTGCTTTGAGATTCCCTGAACCAAATCAACGAGCCAAACTCCAACCTGCTCCTAACCAAGTTACAGTACAGAAGTTTAAGCGTGTTGATATTATTAAAATGATATGATTGTCTTATTACAAAACCTAACATTTCATTGGCTGACTTCACTATGTTCTCAATGTGTTTGTCAAATGAGAATGTGCTATCATGGGTAATACCTAAATCTTTGATTTCAGTACAGCGTTTCAAGCTTTGTTCCCCTCAATAAATAAATGAAAATACATGGTTGCTTTATACGCGTTATAGTTAAGACAGACCATTTATTTAGATTGAATCGATTGACTTTCACTTGCTATCGTCCAACCCGTGTTAGGAATCACACGTTAAAAAGGTAAGACCTCGTTAATCCGTGGCTCGCACAAGTTTCGACTTCTGATGGTTGTCGTTCGTAGGGGTGCGATAGCTGGTTAACGGATGAACAGATTTTAAACAGACAGACAGATTGAAATACAATTTAATCTTATAACTCCATTCTAATACCTATCAATGTCCTTCTGTAATGTAACACAATCTCTAGAAGCTACGTACGAGCCAGATCAACTGCTGCAAAAAATCAAATAAATTTATCTTCAATTTACCTATTTGGGCGAATATTCTCAACGAAATCAATTGAGTGAATACCGAAATTCCGATTGAAGTAATTATCCTTACCCGTTCTGTCGCATTTTTGGATGGTCTACTCAATCAACTTTACAGAAAATGAGACAAAATGAAACATTGAATGAAAGAAACTGGAGAAGTTGCTTAAAAAACTGGTGTTGATCATATTTTGCAAAACAAACGAATTCTGAAACGTTAAATACATTTCCATGAGATGTGTGAAGACGAACTATACACTCTCCAACCTATTTTCTGAAGAAATCATGATTGGTATATGATCGAATAATATCAGCAATTAAAAATTGTGCTACCATGTTGAATTCGAATTTTGCTTTTCTTAATGGTACTAATATTTCGAAAATGTCAATTGAAAAATTCATAAGTATGGAGCGGATTAGGCTCGATAATAGCAAGATTGAATTCTGCCAGGAACTCTACGTTTTCACAGAGCCAAGCTCCACTTTTATTTGGTGATGTAGAAAACGCTGACGGTTTCTATTTCTTGCAACAGATCTATGCGCATGATTTGCAGGATGCTTTTCCTAATATTTGTATTGTCCTGCGAATTTACTCTACGCTTCCTACTGTCCAGTGTTATTATTAGATTGACTGGTGCTGATTCTCAAACAAGACTCAACCTCTAACGGAAGCAAGAAACTTTTTGGAAGGTTCGAAATAGATGAACATTTCAAAACATTTTTCAAAATGTTGTTCAATTGTTAACTAACAAATTTTTTCCCAATCTCCATTGGCATAAATAATGGGATAAAAGGTATAAATAATTGGCCTATGAATTTTAAACTTCGTAGATGCCTTTTGATTATATACTTCATACAATCATGCGATGAAAGTTCATAAAAATGTATTAATTTCCTAATTATGATTTTTTATAACTATTGCAAAATGAAATATCTAAAAATTGTTGATGAAATTTTTTTTTTTCAANAAAACTCCGCTATTGCAATTTTCTGATATCACCTGAGGTCCATAGATTAGTTTACGTCCGATCATGGCCACCTAGATGCAATTTTAAAAGTGACTCTGAAAAAATCAAGTAGGCTGAAAAACTTCCGGAAATGTCAGTTTCTGATCCAGAATTGTCTCAGAAATCCAAAAATGTTACAATATACAGGGTGTTCCATTTAAAAATTCAGAACCGGAGCCATTTCCGCTGAAACCGGAAGTGACCGGAAAGTGAAAAATATGTGAAAACTCTCCTCTCCACATACCATTTATCTGTACCAAATCTCGTTTTGATACACCTAATAGTCTAGAAGTTATGACTTGTCTAATAGATTCGTTGACACCCGGTATTGTATACAGGATCCTGCAACAGTGGCGCGGTGTTCCATATCTCTATTTAGGAAACAGGAATCTAAATTTCTATAATATTACCTAATTACTCGAGCTCGACAAAATAAAAATATTGGCAGTCACACAGGGTGTTCAATTTTTTCTGGGCGGATCCCAACTGTGTTTTTTCAAATGGCAACCTATATTTTTTATCGTTTTTCCGGTTTCTACATAGAAAATAAAAGACATTTTATGTATATCTTCACTTCGAATATATTGACGGTTTTCGAGATATTTAGCATGACAGGCTTTTTTTCCAATATTCGTCACTTAGAATATTTGAAATTATAAAGTTGTGCCAAGTCCTATTGTACTGTGTTTTTTCAAATGGTTTCTACATAGAAAATAAAAGACACTTTATGTATATCTTCACTTCGAAAATATTGACGGTTTTCGAGATATTTAGCATGTTAGGCTTTTTTTCCAATATTCGTCACTCAGAATATTTGAAATTATAAAGTTGTGCCAAGTCCTATTGAATTTTTTATGGTCAAATATTCTACATTGGTAACTCTCTCAAACGATATATCTGAAATCTACCTGTGATATACAGGGTATGAAAAAGCGCTTGCCACATATTGTAAATGAAAATTTGCAGAATCTTCCTTATTTTGAATGAAACACCCTGTATATTATTGATCCATCAGGAGCGCCAACGAAACCTCTACAAATTTCATTAAGTATTCCCTATGGATAGGTTCAATAGTTTTTCTTAAAACCATTTTTTTCGAAAAATGGTCGTTGATAACTGCCTGAATCTGAGGCGAGCCAAAATGAGGCATGGAATATTATCACAGAGTGAGTCGTTGTAAGTGGTGGTTTTG